AAACAAGTAAAGAAAACTTTTCAAAAAAGGAGTAAATGTAGGGATGGCTAATATCAATCCTTCAAAAACAATGCAAACAAGACAATAAATAGCATTTGTATCATCCGTACAGTGTAGTAGAATGTTAAGAGACAAAAAATAGGATAAATTAAGCTAAATTGTGAATGAATAGTTGTATATGTTGCTATGTGTTAATTCTTGCCTGTGCTATTATGTAGGGATGATGCAAATGTCATAATACAATCTTGTTTGCATAGTTTTTGAAGGATTTATGTTAGCCATCCCTACATTCACTTCCTTTTTTGAAAATTTCTTATAAGTTGTTTAGCGTTTACAACATGTAAGAGCTTCTCATATTAACTGTACATGTTCTGTTTCTTTACAGGATGATATGCTGTATGTATTTCAGAATACTGATCTAAGCCCTCATGAAGTATGTGGTGTGATGCTTGGTTATACCTGTTCTCCAGTTCATCACATAGACCACAACTGGACATTGCCTTTGACCCCTAAGACCAAACCTCCTTTGAAATCAAAAGTCATGCCTAAGGTAAATATAAAAAGAGTACACAATTGACACAAAGCTTTAAAAACAAACAGAAAAGCCACTTTATGAACCGAATAATAGTGTAATAATACCACATTCAACAAATATTAAAAAAACAGATCCATATGTAACTTACCTTTCTGCTTGTAGGTACTCCACCTATAAAAATGTTCTACATATGAAAGTTCTACTCAGAAGTTCGATATTTTACTTGGCTTTCTGTGCAATTTTTTGATATAAACTTTTATGAGATGTAAGTTTGCATGTCAAAGTGAACAAATGTGGTTATTATTTTATGATAACTTTAACCTCCTAAGTCATACTGAATATGAGTGGATATTATCTTGAGAGAAGGATAGCATCCATTGTTTTATTGAATAAATGTTGGGTATTATTTTATGAGAATGATAATATACCAAGTCATAATGATTACATGTGACTATTATCTTGTGAGAAGGTTAACTTCCTAAGTCACCCTGAATACACATGAATATTATCTAGTTTTCAAGAAATTGCTGGCTCAGTTTTGAACTTCTCTTCAACTTGTTGAAGTGTAATTATTATATTGTGTTGTAATAGATTTTTTTAAATGTTGATTACGTGGTTTATGAATGGTGTTTGACTTCACTAAATATTTCAGCCTTTAGCACCCGTGGTCCATGTCCTCCATCTCTCTGATTCTCATTTTGATCCATACTATAAGGAAGGTAGCAATGCTGAATGTGGGGAACCGTTGTGCTGTAGAATCACTAATGAACCGGCAAGCCATCCAAGCAAAGCTGCAGGAAAATGGGGAGACTACAGAAACTGTGATATGCCATTAAGAACATTAGAGAGCATGCTTAAACACGTAACTGATAACCACAAAGTGAGAGAATCTCCTTTTTTATTATAGATTGTTGTATGTATTTTTATATTAATAGAAAATGTTTATTTATATACATTTCTGTTTGTTTACATAACTACTTTCAGTTGGGTATTTTGAAAAACTAGCCTAGTATTTCATCATGTTAGTTTGGGAATGCCAGGAACCTAATACACAAGCATAGTCATTGTGTACATACTGTAGTGAAATGGCTTAGACCTGATTATAAACTATACTAGATGTAAACATTAGCCATGTCTAACTTATGATGTAGTTAATAAGAAATACACTCGTAGGTGGCTTGTGAGTCTTTTGTCTGGGTAGGCTATTCTGTCATATGTGGATTGCAAGCTTCTAAATAAATTGATAAACTCTCCTCAGTGACACACATAAACCCACTTTTGCTCTTTCTGTACAATTACTGTAAAACATATTTGAGTTAGTGAGAATAATATCCTGTGAGGAACGACTTAGTTGGGGAGGCTAAGCCTTCCCAAGCCCTTATACCTGCCACCCTTGAACACACTACAAAAAAAATGATTAACATTTCAGCAGTTCACAGTGGTGTAGAACTTTTACTGATGAGGAAAGATAATTCAAAAAACAAAATTCCACTACTGATAGACAGACAACAGTACAAACCAAGGTTTACTTAAGATATTTTCAACCTTACACATACAAGTACTAACCCATCCAGTTTGAAACAGTATTGTTATAAACTTGAGCTGCGTGAAACTGTTATGACCGCACCAGTCATTCTAGTCTGAAATCATTTAACACTTGATGTGAGAGAATTTCATAATTACAGCATTGATTTCATAACTGTTCAATTCCAATTGTAATAATCTGGTAGTTAGTCAGTCATCATATCTAAAATTTATTAATAAAATGATATGAATTAATTTTAAACTAATAATTTTAATTTGAATAAGTAAACTGAATCATTTTATTAGATCATGGTAAAAAAGCATGTCAAAATGATTTGAATGATTGAGCAAAGGAATGTATTCTTGAGCAATGTATTGTTATGTATGTGACAGTTCATGTAAATGTTATATGAATGTGACTGCAAGTGTTATTCCTCATATTGTGCCACTGTTACATCAACTTTCCTATGGGGTAACCAGTCCTATTATTTCCTTGGAAACATCTTGGACAACCTCGAATATTAATTTTTCACAGTGATGTTCGATGCCTATGGCTTCACAGCTGGCTTTTGTTTGGTTCTTTGTCTGAGTATCTGAATTGTCTTCTAGAGTGGTCTATTCTTGCTGATGCTCTTCTCTGGCAGAATATAAATCACATTGGGCTACATTCCTAAATTTGTCATTAACATAGTATTTTCTTGTTTGTATCCAATTTCTCTCAAATTGCTTCTTTTTTCATATTTTTGTTTCATGACTATGGCTTATCAGCTTCTTCTGCAACTGGCTAGAGAGCCACCTTATCTGCTGCTTTCAGATACCATGGAAGCCATCAATCTCTTTTTTTTTTTGTCCCAACAAAAATCTCATCTGAGCCTTTTGTCTTCAATGACCTGAAGTTTCTAGACTCTGTCTTAAATTGTACTTGGGTTTTTATTGATAAGTTTCTTGGCTTGTACCTCTTGGTAATTCATTCACTCTATCATCTATCCATCGAATAATATTTTCTTATATTACTTAGTTCAGGCAGAAGATGTTCCTATATATGTTTACTTGATACTTCACATAATTTGTTTCATGGAAAGCCTTGTACTTGTACCAAGTTCACAACTTCCTATCTAAGCTCGGGATGTAAGAGAAGGTATCCATTGTTTTTCTCTTATTGTATTATTTATCAAGTTTGATTTTCATTCTCCTTCTGCAGAATGTTTTTTTTTTGTCCAGTAAGGGCTATTTATTGTTATCTTGAATGTACTGAAACTTTTGGGAAGGCTTGCCAAAGGATGTTTATACCTTATGTTGAATTATGCTCTTCAGATCTTGTTCTGGTTACACTGAAAAATTAACTCGTATAGTTGGTCCATCTTGTTTCCCTTGATTTTCCCAAACACCCTAAAAGTGAATTTCAGGTTACATCTCACCAAATCAAAAAGTTTTGGCATTCTGACCACAGTACTGCTTATAGGATATCTTGCAGGCCAACATGTGGATGATTGTACAGATTTTCTTAAAATTTTAGTTACATAATATCACTGTTTCTTCAGATTTGGGATTCTGTTTGACTTTAGGATCCCCATCAGGAGAGCTCTTCTCTAGAACCTGATTATTTACCACGTGGGCTTCCACCTATGTTATGTAAAGCAATCCAGGTATTTTTTTCTGCCCAGCACCCTTGTTCATAATTCCAGTGATGTCTGAGGTTAAGAGATTATCTGAATATAAAAAACAAACAAACAAACATGGTATCTCCATATGTGAAACTCCATCTTTGGCTTTGTCCAGTTTGGACTCTTGCATGTTACATATACCTTTGCATTTGTCCTAGAAAAAATTATATCGTCTGTGATGGGACTACATGAGAAGGTTATGTCCTCTACAAGTGGACTTGGTGGCTGATGATGCATCAGTAGTTACCTTTCCCATGTTAGTGCACATGTCTTTGCATAGAATTTTAAACACTAAGGACGAGGTGCCCATTTTCCATTTTCCATCTCAAAGCCCCAGTCAGGATTGAGATGACCTTATGTCTTTTCTTTATTTTTTTCCTTAAGCTTAACTTTTCTTCTCATTACACTTTCCTAATGTTACTGAGCCCATTCTTGGACTGCCTAGATCTTTTTGATCATCCCTGGGTGACCACTGGTTAGGCAAGTTTCTTGACTTTATCAGTCTTTTCAAAGTAGGAAAAGCCTCAGGAGTATGTCCAGTCTATAGTTCTTACTGGTTTCCTCCTCTGAGAATCTTCCACTACAGGTACAGGGCAATGCTTTGCTCTGAAACTGATTACCCATTATGCCACCACCTGCGACTGCACCTGAGAATGTACATGGCTCCACAGGTTCTATTATTACCACCATATTCCCCTTTATATATAACTTATTAATGGGTGCTCAGGGTGAGGAGGTACTATGCTGAGAAGATTGCATTTCTGAGTGTCTTCATTTTAGTCCAGTTTCCTTGAGGCTGATTCACTCCATTTAAATGTCACATGAATCCATTACATTGACCTTTACTCGGGTTCTAGAATTTTCTCAAACTCTGCTTGACCATTTAGTTCATTTGTTATGGTTTAGCTTGTTACCTTCCTGCTTATGAGCCTCACTTTTGGGGAACCAGAATTTTTATGATTATTTGCAATTTTCTTTTCCATTTCAGTGTAGGTATTCTGACTTTTAGTATTTTGGATGTAAGTCAACTTGATTTAGATTTTAAATTTTTAGAGCTAAGATGAATTTCCATCCACCTTCCATAACCAGGAAGATTATATCAGTACAATTGAAGACAAAGAAATCTGGCTTATGCAGAAAAACAGGGCTTACATACATTCTCCTGATGTATATGAAAAATAAGTTACATGGAAGGTGGGAGAGGGAGAGTAAGGAATTCTGGGTAAGTTGATGCATGATATGCTATGATATTCAGAATTTGAATTCACATGGTTGTTGAAAGCCTGAAAGCAACTCAACAAGAGAGGTTTTTAGTATTTTAGAGGTAAGTACCTATTTGTAATTCATTTTAGTTCTGAAAATCTAAAATTTGTGAAGAATGAAACTAGAGGAAATCTACCTAAAACAACATTATTTTGTAATTCATTTCTCTTATTTTATTTGAGAAGGGCTATTTTCAAATTTGAGTTCAGAAAAAAGAACATTCTGTAAGAAATGTGTTAAGAAAATTATTGAGTGCATGGCTGTAGCTACCAATGCTTGATATAATTGATCTTAACGAAACATTTTGTTTATGTCTTTCAGGTAATTCAAATAAAATAGTAATTACTTTCACTAATATAACCTTTTTTTTCTTTATAGATAGCAAATAATTTTGCAGTTTACTTCTGAGATTATCATTGTCTAATTTCTTAAGTTTGTTTTTGTCCAAAAGTATACATTAATTTTACATTATTCATAATTACCACAGTGGAAGACCCTTACCTGTTTTCATAATACTAATATCTTGATTCTTAGCCAAATACAGAAGATCTGAGAATTTAACATTATTCACAGGATTTATGTTATTAAATTTATTCATAGTTTATACAGAGTTGTAGAAATTTGCTCTTAATCAATATCAGGAAATATACAAATCAATGCACAGAAAAATGTCGTTGATGCCGAGAAAATAAACCTCATTGCCTATTGGATACAGATAAGTTTTTAGTTTTAGTTGTTGTTTTTTGGAAATATTTGTAGTTGTTAGTCTTGTATCTTTATAAAAGCTCATAAAATAGCATTATAGAAAAAGTCAGTATTGCAAATTTTAGGTATCTTAATATAGCATGGTTACTATGATAACATAAATCGCTAGTTTTTGAATACTACTGAGATCATTTATGAACTATTGTGAAATTATTTTATTTTTTTACATGCATCCTGATATTACTTGATTATGAATTGTTTGCATATAACTGTGTTTCAACAAAGGAGTACCATTGTATTGCCTAATAATTGGAAACTTGTCATGGTGCTTTTTTGTTGATGGTAGTTACAAGTAAAGAACAGCTTAGTTTTATATTGTTTAATAGTTAATTGCCTGTCAAAGTGCTTTTTGGGAGAAGGGAGCTACAAGTTAGGCATAACTTAGTTTTGTATTGTCTAATAGTTGGTAGTCTGTTACAGTCCTTTGTAAGTGAAGTTGGCTTCAAGTAAGGCACAGCTTAGTTTTGTTGATACTTGTTTAGTCATTAGTAATTTGTTGTTAAATTGTGCTAGTGGGTTTGTCAATGCAGCATAACTAATCTGGATGATAAGTTTAGTCTTGTGAGTGAATTGTCTTTTTTAGTTTTGGTACTTGTTGAATAAATAACCTAAGGGAACCAAAAGTGAGTAGTTGCTGCTTTTCTCAAGAGAGTTAGTTGTCACTAAGGTTGATTTTTAGTGCTGGTTGGTAAGTGCTTGAATGCCACTAGGAATACATTTGTTACAGTGTAACATTACTTAGGTTTTGTTCTTTTTATTTATATAGTTGTTTTGAGTTGTGCACTATATTTGTTTAGGCATAATTTAGATATGACTTATTCAGTCTGCACATAATCATTCTTAGTAGTGCGATATTATGGCCAAACTTAATTTTTATAATGTAATACAGTTAAAAGTTTGTACAGTGTACTGAAACATAAAGAACGGTGACCTATACCAGAGAATTACATTATTTTTTCTAGATTGATTATGTTATCTGGACAGGGGATATTCCTCCTCATGACATATGGAAATCAACTCAGTCAGAACAGATATATATCTTACGATCTGTGACTCAGTTGATGCGTAAATACCTTAAAAAAGTTCCAATTTTTCCTGCTCTTGGAAACCATGAAAGTGCTCCTGTTGACAGGTAATCTGAATTATTTGTTTTATTTTAGAATGTAGTTTAGTCTAGTTTTCATTTATCCAAATGTTATGCTTCCTTAGACTCAGGATTTGCTGTAAGGATGTACTTCAGTTTTCAGTGATTAGGTTTAATGTCTGTTTTAATCTTTATTTAGCAATTTACAGTATGGGAAAAATATTATCCACAAAATACATGTCCTTGTCTTTCTATTGATTGTTGATAAACAACTTTAGGATATGAATATTAAGTTAAAGAAAGCAGGTTTTTATGTATTTATAAAAACTTAAATTTAGATGACATAAATAATTTGAGATTCATGCCTGTAAATTTAAATGTTTCATCTTTCATAGCACTGACACATAGCATGTTCAAAAAGTTGCATTTCATTTTTAATTGCTTCTAATGAAATAAAAACTATGTGTTTATCTTGAAGTGTTTTTTTTCCATATCTTTGTATCAATTTCTATTGCCAAGTTTACTATTTATTATACAATGGTGATATTTGTAACTTGTTGAGTTATTCCGAAGTGGAATTATTTTATATTTCAACCCAATTGCAGCACTTATTACTTCATTATAACAACTTTATTTTTTTCTGCCAACACAGTTGTGTTTGGTTATTCATTTTGAATTATGAATTTTAAGTTACCACTTCAGAGGTTATATGTTCTATCAGCATATTTACATAGGCATCAGGTGGTGGTACTCCACTGGGGAATTATTGGCCTTACTTCTTTGTGAGATTGGTCGTCTAATGAACTGACCTTTGTTGGGCTTCGAATCAAGTTTGTGGGCCAACAATTTTTGAAATACAGTCTGCAGACTTTGGATGATAAGATGTTATATTGTTATGGTTTTTGAATATTTTTATTGTTAATATTATTATCTGTAGTTATTTGGGTTCAATAACATAAATTGTGTTAAATTGGTCAATATTCATAGTCAAGTTCAGATTCGAAATTAGGCTTAGTTGTATCCTTTGTTTTATACCATTCGATTAGGCTTACCATGGGTCTTTGTTATTTTAGAATTACCTCCAATTCATCTTACTGGTTCATCATTGGGTTCATTATGTTGTTCTTCTTACACATGTCACATCTCATACATATGTTATTGTTAATACACACTTACTTCATTTTACAAAATAACATCTAGTTCATTTTCATTATTATTTGTCTTTTATACTTCTTCATATTAACTTGGTTTGGATGGAACCATGAGCCATTGTCTGCACAAACTTCTCCCAATATTGTACATACTTATTCTTAGGTTAGGGATTTTAATTTAGAGCTTCGTGATATAGTTTGTCCTGTGCTGTTCGATTAGGCTTAACAAGTGACTGTTATTTTCAGTTTACCTGTTGTTCTACTTACGGGTAAATGAATAATTAGGTTAAATATCTTGTTTTCTTCAACACATAACATGTAATACATATGTTTATTTCACTACACAATTTCTTAACATTTACAGTATATCGACTATTTCATTTTCGTCATTCTTTTTCATTTATCCTTTTTACCATTAATCTCAGATATTAGGGCCACTGGGCCGGGGTCCACCTTACATTCTCCCAATATTGCTCTCTTTCTCTTACAATGGCCGAACCCATTTCAGACACCCTAGATTTTGTCCATTTTCCTACACCTGATTATGACTTGCTTTCCCAAGCCTCTACTGCAGAATCTACTAGGCCTATTTCAGTCTTTTTATCGATACATTTCACAGTATAATATTCCCCTCCTTCTCCACAAATTGTTTGATGATGAGCATTTTTGTCTCTCTTTTGGGAGTGGGTACTTGCTAGACTCACCCTACACAGGCTTTGGTTCTTTCTGTCTCAGCTTATCATCAGTCAGATTTTCTTCTTGATTATATGTCCTTAGGATCTCTATTGCCTGTATGAGGAGTATCCTCAGTTAACCCTATCCATTTTATCCCATACCTAGTTTTTCATCTTCATCTTACCCAATCAATTCTCCTATAGGTAATGTTCACCTTACACCTACTTTATTAAGCATTCCACATATATTTATGGATTTCGTGGGATTCCTTCTCCTTCTTCCTTCCATGTTGGGACATTTGCCATTTTAATCTTCAGTTCTTTCTCTCCACACTTTGTTTCTTTGTTTTTGGGCTCTTCTCTGGTAGGACACTGTCTTGTACCACTTGTTTACCATCCACTTCTAATAGAGACTTACGGTAGGCTCTTTTTTCTCCACCAGTCCGTTGTTTGGGGCTACTCCTGTACATTTAGCATCATGTGGGGTATCTGCAATGCTATATTCTAATTTTTTTGGTTGCTCTTTTTTTTTTTCATTCTGAGACATTGTCATCTTTATTAATTTTCAATGTTCAGCACCTTCCCATTCTGTACCTGTACTACCTACAGGTTTCTCCATTTGCCATGTATACTCAATGCTGATTGGAGTTCTGGATTTATCAGTCCCACCTCAATCACTTTTTGGGTCTTCCCCATTCTAATATATAGTCTTGGATCCCATTTGAGTGGGCTATTTCTACAGGACTGAGAATGCCCACAATACACATTTTTATTTTTCATTTCTCAGGATGCTATCTTAGATTTTTTCACCACGTGATTTGGTACCAGTTTTATGCCTTGCCCTTTGGACTTGTTTCTGTTCCGTATGTCTTTTGTCAGGTGGTCTTTGTTTAATCTGACTTCCATATTTTGGGGGATTTTGCCAACACCACTACTTGGACGTCTAGCTTCAGTTAGGGGGTAGTCATAACATACTCATCTGCTTCCTCTACAGTTAGCTTAGATGGTTGGATAAGTTTTTCCTGTTACATACTTCACATTCTCATCTATTTGGGGATTGTATTTTAAATATCCCCCTCCATTTGGACAATCCATACTCCTCCTTGAATGTGTTCAATAGAGTTTTCTGTTATCCAAGCCATTATCTTACTGCTAGCAAGGTTCTTATGCACTGGGGAATGTGGTTTCTATGGAAGCACTTCTCCCTTTGGATCTAACACATTTGTGATCTTTTTTGAGATTCTGCATGATG